TGGTTCTACTGGTAGTCCATACATCTTATTCCTGTAGAAGAAGCAGGAATGCAGATGACCTAAAATTAATTAGGATATTAAGAAACAGTGAAAGCTAAGGGACTTTAAGAAGGACATCATGCAGAAACCAAACGGACGGTCCTTTGCTGACAAACCTATTGTGTCTAACATGCATTGAATGAAGTAATTGGAAATACCTAATGCATTACTAGATACAAAATAAAGTTTTCTGAGCTGATAGAAAGATGAGGGTGTTACTATAGACAGTTGAGTCCAAAGTAATAAAAAAAATGCAAAGAAATTCAGAGTAATATGGAAAATAAAATAAGAAATGCTATTTAAGTGAAAGACACTATTTTCTTTAGAACAGTGCACTTCTTTCATGCCATGTCAGTCAGGGTTGCCATCTTTTACAAATTTTATCATGAGTTTGCCATGTATGTGGGGGAGGGTTGGGTTTAGATGTATTCTTGAAGTCACAGTTTTGGGTAACATTTTTATGTTTCCTTTAAAAAAGAGAGAGGTATAATTCTATAAATTTGTTCCATAAAGTTTAGCTTGGTGTCCCTGGGAAAGGGCATTAAGCATGAAATGGAGTGTGCAAAATTGATACAATTGGCTTTTCTGTCTGAAAAGTATTTTTAATCTTATGTACATACTTTTGCAAAACACTGGGAGATGTGGAGATAAACCTGTTGTTCTGAACTCGTGTCATGAAAAGATCTTAACTCTTTATTTAGCCAGCTAGACATTTTTCTCACTGAGGCAGAACTAGGGTTAAAATCCAAGTGAGTTTTACTTCTGGCTAGAGCAGAGCTGGACAAGATTGTATTTTTGTACCATAAATAAGGTGACAGACTTCAGGCAGAGCGAGACTGGGAACTCTTGGATTAAAACATTGGATTTAAATCCAGTAGAATACTTCAGGTGTTGCATATGTACGACAGTCTTCTAGATGGGTGAATGTTAATTATACTTTCCTCATTTTCCACATAAAGTATTGAAAACATGAATTTGTCTAACAAGACTAAGTAAATCCTTACTACACAGCAAGTGGTGAGAAGCAAAAAACGTAACAGCTTCTCACCCAACTTCAGCAAAATGTTTCTCTCTCGGTCTCTCTGAAGATAAAAGGGGAAGTTTACAAGTAGTGGCTGTGTCTAAAAAGACACACATTTGTAGTTTTTGATAGAGCCTTCAATAATGGTTGTTCTGTGAAGCTTTCTGATGCTTCTTCTGGTGTGTCATGGCATAGAGGGATGTGTCTGGAAGAATCCTTGTTCCTCAGGTTGCATATACCAGTAGATAGGTGAACTGTGTATAAAATTGGGAGCTAGTTTGTTAACCTAGAGGTGCTTCATTGATAGAGAGCAAACCTAGAAAAACGATGGGCCATGAATGAGTCCTAGGATGTGGGAAAATAATCAGGTAGAGAGGTTGTCCCCTTCTTAGTTACTCTTAGCACAGTCTCTGCCTGCATTCCCTAACACTGACTCATGTTTCCCCTACTTGACAGCTCTGGCATTTGCCTTGAGCACCATAATCCACACAATGTCAGCTATTTGGGATCCTTGAGCCAAAGAGCTCCTCTTGTTTAAATCCACTCATGTTCATCTCCTATTTCCATATGGAATTTACATTCAAAGCAGAGAGCAAATCAGTAAGACTTCATACTCACCTTGCAGCGGGAGCAGTGTCTGTGACTGCTCTGTGGACTTTGCCTTGCACATCCACTGTGGCTGTGTTTTATGATTCTCCCATTCTGGGACCTAGCTGCAGCCAAACCACAGAGGTGGCAACTTGGCATAAAAAATTCTGGAAACTCTCTGTGAAGCAGCCTTTGATTTTTGTATGGGTTTACAAGAGATCAGCATAATTCTATTTGAGCATCGTTAGGATTATATATTCCAGTGAACAAATCCAATCCTTAAAAGAATTTCTGGTCCAGCAATGATTTCATCAGGCAGCTTTTGCCAGCTGAACCCATTGAAAATGAAAATAAAATGTCTAGTGTGTTCTGTGGAGAAAATAGGAAGTCCTTTTGTGATGTGAGATCTTACCGAAGCTCATGTGAAGGGGTTAATTTATTAAAAGGCACTGGCTTTTAGTAGTTGCTAGGTAACATTGACCTTTTTCCAAAGGCTGTACTCCTCCAAGAAGGGTGTTTCAGCAGAGGTAATAATTCTGTGTGGGGTTTCCTCAATGAGTTGGTGGTAACCTATCCTTCAGGAGAGTTGGGAGGATATGGTTTTGGAACAAACTGTCATCTTCCCCCTCTCCTCTTCCATTCATGTTTCTCTCTCTGTTTAAAAAACAAAATGAATCGAACAAATAAACAAAAACACCCTGCCCAACACCCTGCCCAACACCCTCCCAAACAAACAAATGACCAAAAAACAGGAAAAACACACTTTCTCTAATTTGCCGGTGGAACTACATCACTACAGTTGCAAGAACTCCCTGTCCTCCCCTACAAACTGGGCACTAGAAATGTGATTGACTATTTTGTGCCTGCAACTATAAGAAGTTCCACATTAAGAGTTGTGAAGCCTTCTCTTCAGAGTAGTTAAAAAAGAAAGAGAAATATGTCCTTTTTCAAGGTGTTTATTGTAATATCTTTTCTCTAGAATGAGAAAGGAGTTAATAAATTCATTTTTAAGTAAGATTTATTTTTGTTTCAGATTATACACTAGCATTTTATCTTCTGCATTAGGATCAATGCTTAGACTTATTTCTTTACTAGTTCTGTATTTTTAAGAGAAAAAGGAAAAAAAATTCTTGAAAATCCACATGCACACCCAAATGATTTGTAAGTTGGAGACTAACCTAATGACAAGCAGTGTATTTAGCTCAGTGACTAAAAAAATTACAATTAGTGTTCTTTCAAAAAGAAACATTTTTATATAGAAAAAGGTGCATAGACTTCATCCTTATGGGCCAGGGTAACTTACATGACAACTTGTTAAATCGATTTTATGCTTCTTTTAGATCTGCTATTCAATTTTTTAAAGTGCAGATACCATGGCAACCCCCTCTCTCATATGGAACGTATGCTGCTTTAGAGATAAAGAGCAAGTACATGCAAAGATGGAACAGGATGACATGTAAACTTTTTTTTTAATATTCACACTTTGGAAGAAAAAATATGCTACAGAGACACATTTTCTCTTAGCTGCAATATATTTTCTGAAAGAATCACATTTTGTACAATGCAATTAATCAGTCTTTAGATATTTTCATAAATATTATAGAAGGAAATTGCACCCTGTGCTTTTCTAATGTATATGTGCATTTATTTGTATATATGCATATATATAGCCAAAGAATTATTCATATCTGCATTTGTTTTAGTGTAAAATGACTCCTTAAAGTCTGACACTAACAACTATATTTTTACTGATTTTCTTACTGTTCCTTAATGGCAAGAATGTAGCACAGTTTCTTGGTTTTGTTTTAATGTTATGAAGGAGCTGCATAGCTGCTATGGCTAATTATTTTTTAAAAGACAAAACACAGCTGAAGTATCAGTTCTGAGAAAAAGCAGGAGGAACTATATGTACTTGACTATCTTGGCAGTTATTTACATTGTCTGGATCAAAATTTTCAAAAGCATAATAGTCTTCTGGATTCCTCAATTAGCTTTCTAAATACTTGACTTCAGAGAAGTCTGCTGGGACACAGCATTTTTGAAAATCTGGTCTCTTGCTCAAGTTGTAGAAGAAGTTGGATTTAGGTTATGAGATATTTATATCCAAAACAAGAAAACTGATCAAGGAAACTGCCATTTCTTATCATCAAAACCCTGTTTCTTCCTGTATTCTATACCTTGGTTAGAGACAGGATATATGTGAAATTTCAACATCTTGCTGCTCTTTTTATTTTCGTATTCAAGCCTGGTTCTGTGATTAAAGACAGAGCTGAAATATTAGTATGTGGTAGTTTCTACCAGTACAAGCTGAGCACTCATTTCAGGTTTCTGAATGAGTTAAAGAAGGAAAAAAAATATTTTTTTTTCAGGATTTAAAAGCACACTACTTAATGAGAAACCCTTGTTGTTCTGAACCTCAGTTTTGTCATTCCCACCCATAAACCCCAACAAATTACTCTCTTATGTGATCTTGGTTTTGATTATACAGATGACTTTCACGTGCTTGGAGCACTGGAGGAAGGCAGGATGTAGAGTCCATTGTTCCTTTTCTTCATCATTCTTCATCTCACATCATTAGTCCTGGGATCTGAGTGTTTTTTAATATGTCATTATTTAAATCAAGTAAACCGCCATGCATCATCTTTCTTATGTTTTGCTGTATTTTTGACACATGCACTAGTGTTTGGCTGTTCGTTTCCTGGTCACTCTTTTCACTTGTTGGTATTAAGTTTTGTCAACTTTCATTTCTTTTTGCAAACTTTAATAGGTTTGAAAGTTTAGTTTGATTTTGATAAGCTTGCACAAGTCCCAGGCTGGTATATCAAATATGCTTGTGGCTGCAAATCTCACAGGGAAAGACTCCCATAAGAGACTGACTACAAATAATAAAAGGAAATTACTGTAAACTATAAATGAAAATATAGGCTTTTCTTTTTCTTTACACCTTTCTGCCAGCAGTGTCTGAACCAACTTCCATTAAAATAGGAAATCCCATTGATGGTGTTAGGATGTTTGTCAGACATCCAAACATAAGAGGCATTCACAGTGGAAACTCCAATAATAAGAAAAAATTGCTATTAGAAAATTAATTCTGCATCTTTGAATTATAAATAAATCTCTGTTCCTGTTTAGGGGGATTGGATGCTGGAGTTCATGTTCACAATGGTTTTCCTTTGTTGAAATCAATTTGCCTGTACCAACCATTTATGCTTTAACAAGAAAGTAATGTGATGGTGAGAAAAAGCATGGCATATTGGGATGTTCCTCTGAGTGCTATTCCCTGAGGCAGCTGCTGGAGAGTATTGAAGGGCGGCTAAATCAACATTGCTTTTTTTTTTTTTTTTTTCCCCAGAGACCAAATGTGTAGCCTCTGTGATGCAAATTATATTTAACCAGCTCTGGGGACTGAATATGGATTGGTGCTTTGGTGAGTCTGGGTCTTTCTATGTGGTCACAGAACAGTTTTTCTCTATGTTACAAGGCTGACTGTGGTACACATTTGTATATAAATACAGCGATGAGTTTGTTTTATAATTATTAATCACAGATCTGAATTAATTTGTTCTTTATTTCAGTCTAGTTTTTATGAAATGAGTACTTTCAAAGTGAGTAGCAGTGTTGAAAACTACGATAACTGTAAAGAGTATTGCCCAACTGGATCTAATAAATGCAAATTGAAGGAGTAACTTCAGTCAAAATGCATTTTTAACAATACATTCCAAACAAGCACATTTATTAATGTAGATAGCGCATCTTGTACCTTCCCAGCTCTGAGTTCATTGCTGACTAGAAATCTTAATAAGTATGTTTTACGAATACTTTTAAATAATTATACCTTCAGGACAATAAATGACTTACAAAAAAAATTGAGGACTCTAAGGTCTGTTTTTTAGGTATCAGCAATCATTATGAAGTGAATTTTGTAATTCATGTATTAATGAGTGCTAAATAGACTGTAAATGGTACGGAAAATGTATTCTTTATTTATAGATTGTAGCAAATACTCAAGAAATAACAGTAAAATTAAGCTATATAGAGAGATTGATAGATGCATTTTTATTATAATTTTTACTGACTTAAGTTTTCACTTGTGGAAAATAATCTTGCCTATATTTAAAAAAAAAAGGATTAAAAAAATTCCCCAAATTAAATTTTTTACCACTATCTTTAGTAGCCATTTCTGTGACAGTATTTTATTAATTGTAGTTGTTAGTAAACTATTTGTGTTCAAAAAATTAATTTATGCCTTAAATACTTTCTCAAATTATATCTTTTTTTTCTCCTCATACAGAAATCCCAGATAACAAACTAAATAAGCTCCTAGATTCAGATTTGAGGTAGACAATTAAAAACAGAAGTTTAAAGTGAAAAACAGTTCAGGAAATTGCCTGATGGGCTTGGCTTATTTTCATCTTGGCACTACTACTAAACATCATATGATTATACTTTATTTTAAGGAAAGACACAGAGGTAAAAAAATAAAACCAAACCACAAACAGAAAACCACCACCACCACAAAAAATGCCGTTGAAGAAGTTTTGTGTTAAGATGCACACATCACATACATAAAATAGTGCAATTTTTTCCCTTATTTGACTGAGGCTTTGAGGCAGGGGCGCAGGAAGGTGTGGGGAGGCGACTACAAAAAATAAAGAAACAGTACTTACCATAAAAGATAGACTTTCTCTTAAAATAATTACCAAAGAAAGTAAATTTTGTCACAACTTGCCAAATGAAAGGTTGTTATAACTCTTTTTTAAATGTAAAATGTTTTAACTGAAAATAGAATATCTTAATAATTTAGTTACCCAATACAAAAAATATTTTTATAGCTGTAAAACCCCCAGCAATTCAGAGTATTTCTTCTTCCAAGATAAGCATTGTTTTTAAATAAAAACTTGAATTAGTGTCAGATTTAGGACCTAAGCATGAAAAACCATCCAAAAATTGTAGACGTTCCCATTAACTGTTATTTAAATGTTGTCAATCAAATCTGTTTGCATCTGGTACTGATGCCATGTGAAATTTATTTATTTAAACTTTCAGTCACACATGGAAAGTTTTGCAGATGGTGCCTCTTCTCATCTGTTTTTTTCCAATTTCCCCCCAAACTCCAGTTCCTACTCTCTCGACCCCCCAATTTGATTCCTCCTTCTTCTAAAAAAATAGATCTAATCAGTAGCATGTTAAACAAGAGGGGATCTTTTATGTATTCTGTGTTAGGACAAGGAAAGCATCGCTGTAGATCACTAGAATAAACAACTCAGGCTGATTCAATTACAATGCCTGGGCCAGGCTTTTATCTGCTGGTGACATCATTTCAATCAAAATGTAAAATAATACAATCCAATAGATGCAAGAGGGAGAGATAGGACACAGACTGCTGCACTTAGTCATTTAATAAAAAAAAGTGGAAGAAAGCTCTTTCTGACAGGCTGCTAGGACTTCCATTTCCAAAACTCTATTACCTTGTATAATAGTATTCAAAAGAATTGAATGCAGGAAATTGTCTATTACTTTTTATTAGTAGAAGCTGTTATGTAGGATACAGCCTACTGCACTGTTTTTTCTTTGTTCCTTTAATTAACAAGAGCATGAAATCCTTCTATTGGCAAGCACTTTTTCCAAAGCTTCTGTTGCCTTCTGTTTTTACTGAAAAGGTAGGTTTTTGTTCTTTTCTTTTCTCTGAATGTCTTCTTTTTTTTTTAATACTAAAAAAGTAATTTTTTTCAAGTCACTGTAATCTAAAGTCTATCAGTCACCTTAATGGGCTAGGAGAGGGCAGAATGAGGATACATTTCCATAGCCGTAGAACAATTTTATAAGAAAGTTTCACGTTTGAAGAGTGAGGGAGATTCAGATTGCAACCATGTATAGCCTGGTGCCAGTCTTTCGACCGTTTCACTTGCCAGCTGAAACGTGGTTTCATTGCTTAATTTATTATTTTGCTCTATGAGCGAAAGATAAATTGATACATATTGATTTGATAAATGCACGATGCAGAGAAACATATTCTTTCATCAGACTATATCCTCGATCCCATAAGATTGTCTGTGGCAGCATATGACGGGGTGTCATGAACCTGGCCATCCTATGTAATTCTCTCAAATTTTAGTGGGAGTAAAAGTAGTCCTGATTCCAATGAGGTGTACTTCCACTGACTTCTACATTCATATGTAAAATATACCAGAAAGCAGATATGAGGGGTAGAACTCTTGGTCTTTGGAGAGAACATATTTAATTGATTTTAATGATTAATTACATGTATAATTCAGCTTCACTGTTATTAGATTCATAAAGTTCTTAGTAACTTTATTTAATAGTAACTTCTCTAGCTAAATTGTGACATTGGGTAATGAACAGAATCTTGCCAAGAGCAAACAATGACTATTGCAGCTGTCACTGAAACACTCTTCTACCATGCTTACCATTTGAGGGTGCATTATGAGGAAGTGGATTGAATCAAATGGCTAACTGCAGATGATGTTGGAGATGTAACTCCTTAAAGGAATTTTATCAACATTTTCTTTACTAATGCAATGATTTGTTCTTCTTTTACACTTACCATAGCAAAAAGACCTGAAGAGAGCTGAGGTCTGTGGTAGTCTTGAAAGACGTTGACTTATGTCTTCTCTTACTAAGAAAGAGATTGCTGCCATTCTGGATAGCATTATTGTTCCAAGCATGTGGTAAGGTTTTTTTGATTATTTATGAAAAGGGTACATTGAGGATGAAGTAATAACCTATGCTGGGAATGAACTAGCAACTACTGTAATCACTGAACAATTTTAATCCTCCCTTTCACAACCATCAGATGTGTTTTATAATTTTTCAAATTCATATTTGACATACTATCTTTTTTTTACAATGCCTGTGATGCTAACCAGTATTCTCCTGTTGCAGTGGGCTTGGACCCTAGCAGGCTGTAATCGTGGTCAAGATTAGACAACCCATGTTAGACACACAGCATCTGAATGAACACAGACCTAAGGTGCTAACAAGAATAGTTTAAACATGTAAACTAGTTATCTAAACTCCCTATCTATCTAGGCAATGAAGAGATAAGAACTCAAAAGGTAAAGAATGCTTAAAGCTGGATCTTGGTCTACATGGGACAAGGGCACATGGAGCATTACTGCTGCTGTAATTTGGGTGCCTGAGCTGAAGCTGCATAAGCTGAAGTTGCATATGAAATTATTCAGCTCATCTTTTATTTTCTGATAGTGCCCTCACATCCTCAGGTAAGATGAAAGGTGGACCAGTCCTAGGCCGTATCAGTACTCCAGAGGTAAAGGGTCCTTTCCGGGAAAGTGAGAACTATGGATTTCGACTCCTGCAGGCTGCAGGAGTGTCTAGCACTTTGGTCCCTTAGCTTTTGGCTGAGTTGTCTGGTAGGCTGTTTCTGGAAAAGAAAGGTATTTTACCATGTCTATGACTGAGCACTGGAATAGGCTGAATTCATCATTGTCCAAGTATCTTGAGGAAAGGTCCATATGTGCATGATGAAACCGAGACAGTTACATGTGTCTTCAACCATCTCCTGGTCCCATCACAGATTATGGTGTGTTAGCTTAGAGAAGGGTAATGCATTTGCAAGACTATGTCAGTGCTTAGGAAACACTGTCATTCAAAATGGAGATACGAGCTGATTGTAGACACCCCTGGACCTAGTGCTGGAGAGCAGACACTTGTCAGAGATTCACTGAGTTTTCATCTCAGTTCAAGTGTAAGTCATATGATCTGCATTTTACAGCAGAGTTTTAACCTAAAAAATGCATGTATGTCAAATTCCATGAGTTGGAACTGGACCTTTTCCCGCAATATGTCTGCCATATTTAACCACAAATTGCTTTTCTTACCTTATGTAAACATCAAAACTCTCTTTATTCTGACCAAAGTCCTCCCTTAAACATATGTAGTTGAGACCCTTCTGAGTCATCTTTCTTCACAGGAAAATAAGCCAGGAAGGATAGCAAATCGCAGAATGTAACAACTTAAATCCAGAACTGGCCTACTGTAAAATGTTTTTGTAAATGCTGGGGATATAGTCCCCTCTGCATGAAAGTAGAATGTCTCGTGCCTTTAGAGTTGAGCCATGTAGGCTTTTTGGAAACATATCTTCAGTGAGTATCCATGAATGTTCAGTTTATAACATAAAAATTGTTTTCCTAGAATTTCCAAAAACCCTAATACATTTGGAACATGGATTTTTAAAAAAGATAAATAAAGCAGTACTTGCTGTTCCTGATTCTCCAGACAGTCTGGAGGTTACCTTTTCTGCTGGATGCTTCTCTCACTTCTCCTGCTGTGCTGCTGTGCTTTCCACTTTGCACATCTCTGCCTAACTTTTATGAATTTTAGTCCCATTTTCTAGCCCCACTTGATCTACTCCTTCCTCCCTGGAGTCAGCACTTGATTTACTGCTTTTAGCCTGATGTCTTTGTTCTCCTGCAATTTCTTGACTCCCCAAGCTCTGTTCCATTTTAATTACAGGGATATTCTCTCCTGAAATCTGAAGGTTATGGAGTCCTGTCCTAGCTGACGATTATTGCAAGGTCTACTCAGAAATTAGTGTAGTTTGTTTTTTTTTTTAGTAGACCTTACTTTTCCATACTAGATGTCAGTATGTTTTGAATATATTTGATGTAATTGATATAGCTTAAAAATCTAGACATATTGTAAGAAATGTTTTTTTATCTAAGAAAATTTTGTATTTTAGCTCTTAATAGGTCTGAATAGTTCTGTAGTTCTTATTAGATGCATCTGATGTAACAAAAATATAAAGAAATGGGGATAATTAACTGTTACCTTTGTGTTTTTGTACCCTGTTTTCTTATTTTTCCATCATTAAAAATAATATTTTTCCAAATAATAAAATAATGAATAATAAAATTACAATGTTTTAAAAATAAAAATAATAAATAAGTTTTTGCAAAAGTAGCAAATCCCTGACTGGTACTAAAAGCAAGCTAAGCATCAAATCTACTCACCTTATAGCTTGTTTAGGAGTCTTGGTATTCCTGTATCTTTCAGTACAGGATGAGTCTTTTGGGTGTAATAGTATGTACAAAATGCATCAGCCTTTTCTTAAAATTTGACTTTTGGAAATAGTTTTACAAAGTGTCAGTATTATGTAAGCAGGTAGCAGGCAAGAGCAGGATTTGGGATTTTTTTTACAGCTTTCACACAGCGCATTTAATCTTCATGTATGTTAGGATATTTTATATTATGTTGTTTTTGAAGCTTATATGACTTCAGTTGTTGGCCCTCCATTTCACCATTATGTTAACCTAAATCATTCTTCGTTGTGCATGCATGTTTGGTGAGCGGGCTGTGTGGTCAAAAAGATTTATCTGAGAAAGCTTATACAGGAATGTACTTTATTTTGTGAGCATCTTGTGACATGCTGTTAGTGCTATATAAAGTGCACATATTAGACCTATACCTGAAAGTATAGGTCTGCTATTTAATGTGAGTACTGCAACTGATGAGATTTCCATAAAACTTCATGCTACCCATACATGAATGGACTTACGCACCTAAAGAAACAGAATTAATTTAAGCCTGTGGTTCTAAATCTGAGATTGTAAATCGCATCTCGTCTGCTGAATGTTGGCTCCCAGACATCTTGGCTTTTTTAGTCAACCAGAATTGTCCCAGGCTTGATCAATCAGAGCAGTTTAGACCATCTAGAAGCAAAAGAGTAGATTTTCTATCTAATTCTGAATCCTTTAAAAATCTGACTCCAGGAAGTGTTTGGAGATGGTATTGGATTAGTGACTGCTGGGATGGGACTCACCTGAAAATACAGGGACAGCTAATAACTTTTTTGGCAATTTGTCTGGAGAAGTTCAGTGTTAGAAAAGCAGTTTCTGGACGTGTTCAAGTCATCAGAAGATCGGACTGAAAGCCCTTCACTGCTGACAGGGCTATCTCCAGAAACAGGCAAAGCAAGGAGTTGTATAGAGCAGCAACATAACTGTAACTGGGTTGGCTGCAGTTGCTGCTGTACAGAAAGGGTAAGCGGGAATGGGGAAGCCTCTGCTTCTGGATGAGATCCATACCCAGTCAGTGCTGCGATGTCTCACATCAGTGCAGACAGGAGAGGATCTGTGAGCTCCTCACTGCTTTATTCAGTCAGGGTGCCACTCCTCCTCCCTGCACTTTCCTTACCCATGGGAAGAGTGTCTCACTCTTATGGTAGTGTTCAGAAGGCAAAATTCAATTTTGCTGGCATTACTGAGAAGTCTGAGCCAGCTCCAGCTGCCTGAAAGACTTCAAATCAGTATCTCCAACAATGCTGCCTGCTGAGGGGCCGAGCTGGAATCACTTTTCTCCCTTCCTATTAAAACTGCACTGCTGTGCGTAGAGTAGCTTGAGAGAGAGAAATTTTACAGCCTAGTGGTTACAGTATTCACCTGGGAGGTGAAGATGGGGAATCCATTTGTTGTGTAAAGGTCTGTTTATTAAGTGGCCAAAGGAAACGAAAAAACAAAGAAGGAAAGAGGAGATAAAATGAAAGAGATAATAACAAACAGCAAAATAGCTCATAGTGAAAGGAGAATTTGATTCAGCAAGTTCTGTTGAAATGGTTAGTTTTTGATAATTCACTATGAAAAGGCAGCTTTAAAGAGGTTTTGACGACTAACACAATCTCTTCCTGTTTTCCATCATCATCATAAATTTCTTTTAAAGACAACTGGTCTTAAATATGCATTCTTCCTTCTCTAAGCTGTTCCAGATGGGAAGTGGCACAGTTTAGAGAGGAGCTGGATCAATAATCTTCCTAAATAGAAGATTACCTAGGCCAAGAGCCACGTTTTGTTTTTGCAGTCATTGAAGCTGCCCAGTATTAGAACATGGTCTTGGGTTCAGGGTGTTAGCGGGAAGCCCACCTAAAACACTGCTGTGTCTGAGTTATTTTTAACATGGGATAAAAGCATTGTGGCAGCAATGGAAGTGTCTGGTATTAGTGTCTTTGCATTTGAAATGTACCTATCCGTATTTAACAAATATCTTGATTATGACATTAATTTCCAGTATGTTGAGCTTATTGAAATTATTATAAGCAGCATCCAGGTAAATGCTTAAGAATTTTAAATCAATTGAAACACGTATAAAGTCTATATTAAGATGACTTTGATTTGGTAAGACTAATGCCAGAGTGATCAATAATGGCATGACTAAAGGACATTTATCCTACCGTTCCACATACGGAGAGATCTGTGAACACCACAAAATAAACTGCTTGCCACTTTGTCTGCTGGTGCTGTTAAGGGGGACTGAAACCCTGCATGAGACTGGATCTGTCCCTTGGCAGTGATCCCAGTTAAGTAGGCATGTCATTTATCAATGTGCCAATAACATAATTTCTGTGATATTTTTTCGTCCGTGAATTTTGCATTGATAAGAGACTTCTTCAGCCAATAATCTTGCTTATTATATCATACAAAGAAGCTACTTGTCCTTTATTCTCCTCTTCTTTCTTTGTACAGCTGCAAATACTAGAACAGATCAGTGAAGAATCAACCAAGAATTTTCTTGACCAAGTTTTTTAAAGGATAAACTGCTAAATATATATTATCTATGCTGTAAGCAAAATCTAATTTCTGTTTTGCATACACTGTTTTGTGATGTCTTAGAAGAAGAAAGTCCTCAGCTCTAACTCCTGGTGCACAGCCGGACTCAAACTTCCTTAAAAGCAAATGTGAGATCTTTGTTTCAGCTTTGACCAGCAGATGGGTCTGAGTTTACAAAGTTAATTTAAGTCAGTTTGGATTCCATATTCTTATTTGGTTTCATTACTCTATTGCTAATTATAATCAATTATAAATAGGAGCTTTCTAGGACTTGATTTAGATTTACAGGTTTGGGGGTTTTTTTCCACATTGTTTTTCTTAGTGAAGATGGTAAAAGCATGCTAGTTTTTCTCATTCCACTTCTTCACTGAAGCTTCTTAAGAAAATGAGATACAATAAATCCATTTAGGATTATGTTGAAAAAGCATTTCTGCTTTTAATATTAGCCAGATTTTTACTGCTAAGTTTTGCTGGCAAATCTCTGAAAGTTTCAGCTTGCAACTTATCCGGATCACTTAAATCTACAACACTGGCTTTGCAGCCTTGCAAGAACATCTGTTTTGATTTCCAATGCTATCTTTTTTAGTCCTAGAACACTCTTCTTTAGTGTGAGTGAGATTTTTTCAGAATCTTAAAGGGCCTTAGTTTTAACTCCAAAACATAATGAATATCAGGAGGAAGTACCTCAGTGTAATGTTTCTTGTGTTAGTACTTTCACTGAATATATTGGGTAAATGGATAAAGAAATAGCTGGATGTTCAAGTCACACTTTTCTATGGCTTTAGTGAAACCTGGCAATACAGTAGCATTATGCACTGCATTTCTTATTATGCTCTTATTGAAGCATAGTTTATGTTTATATATCTTTATATATATATCTTTATATGTTGTAAAGAACTGCTTAAACAAGTAGTGGCTATTAATGGGTTTAGTAGCATGCTGCTGCTTTTCTTTGGTGGTAAATGGAAGCACTTGGTGGGGAAGTATTGGTCTGAAACTGAATTTACAAAAATTGTTCATAATTAAATGCCTGAAAAAAGCCGATGTATTGC